AACGTTCACATATTATATCAATTATTATTATAAAATTGCTTGTAGTCAAGCGTTTTACAAAGTTTATAATCTTTTCATTGGTTTGGGAATCGTTTATATTGTGTTATCGGTGAGTTAAGATAAATAAAATGTTATTTGCTTTTTAACTTCGTTGTTAACTATAAATAACTTTTGAACTTGTAATAGATTTATTTTTCAATGGTGGTAGCTGCCTATGGACGACATAAGCGCGAGGAAGAGGAGAGTAATGCAGAGCAGGATCAACAACCTGTTTATTATGAATATCGATATTATTATACATAATTGATCCAAATAAAAAATCGCTTCTGGAGATTTTCAGGCTAAATCGGAGTTTTATTCAGGCAAATTCAGGTTATTTCCTAATATAAATATCTGGCAAATTTAAACTTCCTGACAAAAACTACATATTAAATGGATATTAATTTTTAAATTGATTATGTTCTGATTATTTCTGCAGTTTGTCATATCTATAGAGTAACAATACAAAAATGTAATTTTCTTTATAACTATAATACGAAACGAACTAGGATTTTCAATTATAGCTTAGATTTGTTTAAATAAATATTTTTAGATTTTGTTTCAAAATTTTTAAATATGAAGTATAACCACATGATTTGTATGCACGGTATGATTGGTTATAATTATTAGTCAGTAAAATTGAAAATAATCTAATTATTAACCAATAAAATTGAAAAATTTATAATAGAAGATTTTTATTCAATAAAATTGAAATTAATAACATATAATTTATTTTAAAATTATACAAATTAAAATTAATTAATGAAATCAATAAAATTTAAAATGTTTACTATTTATTAGAAACAATTCAAATTAATTAAAAATAATTAATATAAATTATTTTTAATAGGATCATTAAAAGTTACTTATTTTTATCTTAATTTATATAATATTAATAATAATTTTCTTATTATCCTATAGATTATTTTATTGTACAAGTTAGTTTTATCAAAAATAAATTAATTATTTTATATATTATAATATTAATTTTAGTTAAATTATTTCTTTTAAAAAAGTATTAATATTTTTTATATATTATTATTTAAAAATATTATTATTTTTATTAATATTTATTTATTTTTTTGATTATTTTCTTGTTTTAATAAGAATAAAATATTTACTAAATAATTTTTAGAAAAAAAATCAAAGGTTAAAAATTAAATTAATATATTTAATTTTAATATATATTAAAATTCAAAAATTAAATACTTTATATTACTTATTAATATAATAATTAAATTATTAAAAAATAAAAAAATAAAAAAAAATTAATTTGAATTTATAAAAAATATATTAAAAAATAAAAATTAAATATATTTTATTAATAAAAATTATATTTTTTTATATTTTTAGAATATTTAAAATATTAATAAATTTAAAGTTTAAAAATTTTAAATTATTAAATTATAAATTAATTTTTAATTTATTTTAAATATAATTATATATTTTTAAATATATATTATTAAATTAAATTTAAAAAATATATTTAATAAAAAATATATAATT